TTTCTATGCTGTTCTCTTGAAACATCCCACCCTCGCCTTCTCCCAGAGTCCACAAGTCTGTTCTATACATCTGTCTCTTTTTCTGTTTTGCATATAGGGTTATCGTTACCATCTTTCTAAATTCCATATATATGTGTTAGTATACTGTAATGGTCTTTATCTTTCTGGCTTACTTCGCTCTGTATAATGGGCTCCAGTTTCATCCATCTCATTAGAACTGATTCAAATGAATTCTTTTTAATGGCTGAGTAATATTCCATGGTGTATATGTACCACAGCTTCCTCATCCATTCGTCTGCTGATGGGCATCTAGGTTGCTTCCAACATTTTCTTAATTAAACAATTTCCCATCTGGAAAATAAAAGTCTTCATGCCCCCCCCCCCAAAAAAATCTCTGAAAGTAATCAAGTATAAATGAATTTTTAAAAATATTTAAACTATTCTTCCCAATAGTTTTGGCCACTATCAGGTAACTTTTAGTTTATTTTTTAAGGAAAGTATATGTATACCTCAACTTCAGATTAAACCTGTGAGCTTGCTGACATTTCAGAGATGATTTCAGAGTGTTTCTTTTTGGGGATTACCCTTTCTCAGAATTTCTCTGGGCTGAGTTCATGGTCACTGTGGGCTTTCCCCTCGACTTTGCCATTTTTTTCTTTAGTTTGTCCTATACAAACTAAAGAATGCTACAAAGAATGTCCTACTAATACTAAAAAACGTGAATCCTGAGAAGGAGATGGGTTCATTTTCATTCATAATGACATAAATGTGGCTGAAGACTGAACACTGATTAAAGTTACAAGTGGAAAGGAAAAGCACACAGCATTATCCTCAGTGTGAATATTGTTTTGTGTCTCTATCACAAGATGTGAAAAAATGGCTGTTATTCTTCCTGATGAGGGTATAGGTTATCACAGAGTGGGAGAGATGGTTTCCCTTCAAGACCACACTGAAGAGTTTACAAGTTTTGTTCTTTAGTTTTTTTTCTGGTTTCCTCTTAAACAAATGGTTCTTTCAGGCAATGGAACAATGCTATGAAACTAGTCAGTAAGGTCCATGAAGTGTTACTCTGTGTAGGAAACCAACTAGGCCAGAAATCAAAGTTTCTCTCTGGTGCCTGGGAAAGGATATTTTGCTGAGTCTTGGTCTGAAGTCACTGGAGCCTTCGTTCCTCTCAGTTAGTACATCCCCTTCTGGAAACCTCCTTCCACTTACTCACATTTTCATCAAATAATAACCCCCATCCCAGAGTGTCTAAAGCAAATCTGTTTTGCTTATTCTTTCCTTCCCTCCTTCCAAATTACTGTGCTACCAGTGTCAGGCAGGGTCTTGTCAGTGAATTCCTAAATTAGCATTTCTAAAATCATGTTTTGAATTTTATTCTTTTTACCTTTCTTTGACTCAACATCAATCCCCCCACCTCTCTCCTTTCTTTCCCTTTTTTATCTGCCATTAGTGTTTCTTTCTTAGGTTACAGAAAAAATGGACAGATCTAGGTAGGAGACACTCTTAAATCATGGACTAGAAATTGAGTTATTACAAATCCTGTATCATTAAGGGCTTTTCCAGAAAGAGGTACAGGCTAACTTGCTTCCTAACACTCTTATCAGACATGTGCTCCCAGAACTTGCCTGGCAGGCTTTTCTGAGGTCCTAGAAAAGGCTTTAGGTTTTGAGGTTGAAAAATCCTCAACAGGCAGAAGAAGCTGCACATTGCCAGTGTGCCTGTGGGATGGCTGTGGGGTGTGGGGCGTTCCTGGAGCGTCCCTCTCCCGCATATGTGTTTAGCGCGCCATCTAGTGGCAGAAGCTCATAGAAGGGAAGGGAAGAGAAGAAAGCCTGAGTCCGGAAGACAGCTCAGGGTTGGGCTGGCTTCCCCTTAAGGTTAAGTACAGGTCAAATAAAACTAAAGTGGTTTTATTTCAACTCTACACATTGCATAGGTGAAGACTGTTGTGCACACCGTTTTGAGGCTTCTAGAAGCCATGGGATATTCAAGAAAAAGGATAAAATATGTTAAGGACATATTAAGAAAGGCAAAAAGTACTGCTACACAATTATTTTAGAAAGTAGGACTCTAAAACTATAAGCACTCTCTTTGAACAAATTAATGAGACTTTTCTGTGAATATAGGAAACAAAAACAAATTGAAGGGAAAGAAGAAAGAGAAGGTATGGGAACAAAATGAAAGGGGGAAGAGGCAGGATAACCCAATGCTTTGTAGATAGTTCTACATTTGGGTTCAAATTTCAGGGCCACTTCTTAGCATTTGTGTGACAGTAAGCAATTACTTAAATTCATTCAGTCTCAGGTTGCCCATCTGTAAAAGGGGAAAATCCCACCTATCTCTTGGGGATGCTGTGAGGGTTAAATAAAAGCATATATGAAAGTGCCAAGCCCAGAGCCTCATGTGAAATTGCTCAATAAATGGTAATTATTATTAGCAGGGAGAGGACAAAAGGAAGAGAAAGGAAGGGAGGGAGGAGGCTCAGCAAGGGATTGTGTAGAACACATTATGATGTGAGAAAGGAAATCACATCTAGGACTGTGCAGTTCACCACTAGGCATTTGATCAACTTAACAGGTAAATCCCATGAAAGGGGAAATCTCTGTCTTCAAGGGACAGAAGTCTCTGCCCGAAGCCCACATTTGTTCTGGACTTACAGAAAGCCAGAACAGAAAGCCTCCACAGAAGGCCCTTCCTTCTTGGCACCCCCAGGTCTTCAAGCTGTGAACTGACAACTTGACACTCAACCCTCCACAGATCTTCAATTCAGTGCTGGGAGCTCATGTGAAGGAAAAGTAAATGACAAGTCAAAGATGGTACTGATGAAGAGGAACAACCAGGGACCAGGTTTTATCCAGAGAGGGTAGACATTAACATGATCTAGCTTACAAGGGACCTCCTGAAAACACTGACTCGCCACTGTCCGGGGCAGTTAATACTGACTGAATGCACTTGGAGAGGCTGGAAGAAATATCTGTATAACCCAAGGCACCTTCCCTCCCTGCTAAAAGCTTATTCCTCATGGCAAATCTGTGAGGTGGATCCACAGAGCTGCTTCAGTATCTCCGATATGGCTATTTCTAAGGATTGTTTAAAGCCCTCCGGATACTGGAAGTCTCTGGAGTGCAAGATATTGCAACACACACATACACACACACACACACACACACACACACACACACATGTACATACACTCGTGCCCTCTGAGGAAGCTCTTAGCCTACCACAGCCAGAGCTCAGAATTGGAGGTCATAGTGGCCTTTCCCTGTGTAATGGCTGACCACAATCTCAGGGGAACAGCAGCCATTGCTTGCATTTCTAACCTTTTACCAGCTTCCTTTCATGCCAAGGAGAAACTAGGAAAGAATACGGTAATATGATCCCCAATTAGCATAAAATAAAAACAACCCACCCATGTTTTCCATGGGCATTTCCAACCTCAAATGAAACACATGAAGCAGGGAGAAAGAGATGAAAATACTTTCATAGAACTATAAATATATATATACTGTCTGTGTATGTACAGCCAAGCACCCTGACCCAAAGGACTATCTGTCTCTAGGAAAACCAAGCAATCAGATATAGAAATCTGAGAATTTTCCCTTGTCCCAAGCACAGTGTGTGTACAGATAGGAAGGGACAGTGTCCTGATGACTCAGTAGGGAAGGGGTTAAGTCCTCAGCCATCCTGTTCCAAAGTGATTTATGATGATGTGCAGTGTTTCAACACCCCCACCCAAAGAACAGCCCCTTCTCTCCCTCCCAGTCCAGGCTCACCGCTCACCATGCTGAAGTGGGAAGGAGGCGGTGTTTTGCTGATCTGTTAAATTCTTAGTGAAGTTTCCTTGATTTCCAGTGGCTGCTGTTGTTTGAGTTTGGTTTGGATCAAAACTGAGGTTGTCCTGGCATTTCTGGGACTGAATCCAGGCAAGAGGAAGAAGAAAAAGGAGAAGGAAGAGAGGAGAGTAAATGTGGGAAGAAATAAAGGAAAGAGAGAAGCGTAAGGAAAAGAAAAAAGTCCTTTTCAACATCACATTCCTGTGTTTTCCCTCGGCCTGGAAAACATATTAATCCCAGTGCTTTTACGCTTGGAAACAAAGAGACTAAGCCAGACTGTGGAGGAAAGGGTGATAAGAAGGATTCTGGAACTCGAAAAAGAGAAAGAGCGAGATTTAGAAATAGCTGGGACTCCACCTTAAGGGGCGTCCAGTGCTGTCGGCTGGCCGGGGGGGATTGGTATTCGCAGACACACAGCCCAAGCAGAAGCTACAGACAAATGGAGATACAAAGACTTAAAAGGACAGCTCCTTTCACCTCATTCTACTTGTCAAGAAGGTAAAAAAGCACAGCCAGAAAGAAAAGAAGAAAGTTCAGCCCTCAGGACCTGACGGGTGGTAGTCTGTGTGCGGCTCTGGGAGCTGGGGCTGCAGCACACCCTTTTGTATCGGCCAGCCTTGCAAAGGAGAAAGAGAGTTGGGAGGAAAAGTATTTCGTCTAGGAACTGTTCTGGGAGCACACTTCAGATTGCTTTTTAAAGCTTCTGCATTCCATCTCCATGAGCCACTATGTAAGTGTGTAATCCTGCCTGTCTTTACAGTGTTTGTTTGTTTCTTTGTCATTTATTTAAAGAAATGAAATAGGAATGTTGTCATAATTAATATGTTCAGTGTGCATTTTCTCTGGAGCATCAGACAGTTGAAACAGTCTGAATGGGGAACTGAGTTGAGTTTCCTGCTTAATGTAACTGTCTCTGCTAAGCACTGACAAATTACAGGGACTTAAAACTAACAGGATCTCATTTGATTTTCCATTCTCTGACCTCCCTCCTTCTTCTCCAACCACCCCTTCCCCCTCTTGTTGGCCAAGATAGATAAAGAGATAATGCCCAGCTCTGTTTGCAATTAAATGATTTTCTTTCTTTCTTTCTATTTTTTTTCCCTCTGCCCTCCCCTTTCTGTGTTTTGACCCTGCTGCCTCCCCAAAGAGGACTGCACAATGATATGGAGAATGGGACCCAGTTTGACTATACTGCTGGCATTATTGCTGGTGTGTGGATCAGAACCCCACGGGCAGACCATGAATAGAGGAAGCCGCGGAGGGCAGAAAGTGCCTCTGGTTTCTGCTGTCAACAGAAGGCCAGCTCGGTTACTGAGGCACATGGGGAGGTCTCAGGGAATTGAGAGAACCACTCGGGAAGAACCAAACCTTCAGCCTCTCCAAAGGAGGAGCTTACCGGTATTGACAGTAGCTCATGCCACCGCACCGCCAGCCTCGCTGGGCATCCATGGGGCCCCAGTGAGAACTCAGAAGAGCCCAGCAGCTCGGAGCTCTCCGCGTGAGATGGTCCGAGATGAGGGGTCCTCAGTTCGGTCAAGAATGTTGCGTTTCCCGTCTGGGTCCAGCTCTCCCAACATCCTTGCCAGCTTTGCAGGGAAAAACAGGGTATGGGTCGTCTCGGCCCCACACGCCTCGGAAGGCTACTACCGCCTCATGATGAGCCTGCTGAAGGACGACGTGTATTGTGAGCTGGCTGAGAGGCACATCCAGCAGATCGTGCTGTTCCACCAGGCAGGCGAGGAAGGAGGCAAGGTGCGGAGGATCACCAGTGAGGGCCGCGTCCTGGAGCAGCCCTTGGACCCCAGCCTCATCCCAAAGCTGATGAGCTTCTTGAAGTTAGAGAAAGGCAAGTTCAGCATGGTGTTGTTGAAGAAGACATTGCAGGTGGAGGAACGCTACCCTTACCCCGTCAGGTTGGAAGCCATGTATGAGATCATCGACCAGGGCCCCATCCGCAGGATAGAGAAGATCAGGCAGAAGGGTTTTGTGCAAAAATGTAAGGCCTCTGGAGTCGAGGGCCAGGTGGTAGAGGAGGGGAACAATGATGGAGAGGCAGGAAGGCCAGGCCTGAGTAATGAGAAGAGGAAAGAGGAGCAGAGGAGAGCGCAAGTGCCACCCACCAGAGAGAGTCGGGTGAAGGTGATGAGAAGACCAGCCACCACTGCAGGGGCCCCTCACCCACCTCCTCCAACCCCACGGGCCACCACGCTGCCTCCAGCTCCGGTCACAACAGTGACGCGGGCCACCTCTCGGGTGGTGACGGTAGCTGCAAGACCCACAACCACCACAGCCTTTCCGACCACCCAGAGGCCCTGGACCTCCCGAGTGCACCTTTCTTCGGCCCCCCACAAGCCCCCCGCAACAGCTGAGGTGACCACTGCCAAGGGCCCAGTGGCCTCCGAGAATCTCTACCCTCCACCCAGGAAGGAGCAGCCCAGGGAGGGGCCCCCGACCACTAGGAGGCCCAGCAAGGCCACCAACTTCGAGGGCTTCACAGCTGCCCCTTCCATCCCCATCTCCGAGCCCAGCACCAGGGCTGGCGTGGGCCGTTTCCGGGACAACCGCACAGACAGGCGGGAGCATGGCCCTGGAGAACCCAATGTGGTGCCAGGTCCTCACAAGCCAGCAAAGGGGAAACCTCCCAAAAGGAAAGCCCAGGACAAAATTCTTATCAATGAGTATGAGGATAAGTATGACCTCAGCCCGCCGACCACCTCTCAGCTGGAGGAGGAGTTGCAGGGGGGAAATATGCCCCCCCAAAAAGCGAAGGAGTCTAAAAAGCACGAAAAACTTGAGAAACCCAAGAATGAGAAGAAAAAAAAGGTGAAGAGTGAGAAAGCAGACAAGTTACTCAAGAGTGAAAAGCAAGTGAAGAAGGACAAGGCTGAGAAAAAGAGCAGGCAGGAGAAAGAGAAGAACAAGAAGAAAAAAGTGGGGAGGACAGAGCAGGATGGCCACCTGAAACCCACAAAACCCTTCACTCAGAATCCCAGGAAGTTGGTGACCGACCTGCTGGGGCCCTTTGAAGGCAAACGGAGGCTGCTTGTAAGTAATCTTCTCCTTGGCATTGTTCTGTGGGCTGTGGCAGTGTTAGGACTTGGAGTGTTATTTTTCTAAAATCACATTACTGGGTAGCAGGCTATGGCTAAACAGGTAATCAGTCAGGAAGATCAGGAGGTTTGTCAAAGAAGGACAGCCAGGCCAGTAGCTCCTTTTGACTTAGATATTCTATGAACCTCTATCCACACAGACCCACGGCCCTAAGCAGTCAGTGACTGAGGGATCTTAGCCATGAGCCCAGGGAAGCACTCAGCTCTTCTGTGCTCAACTTCTTCCAAACCCACCAGACCCATCCCCACCTTACAGCTCTCTTCCACAGAACAGTGCTAGATACAGCTCCCTTCTGCCAAGTTCAAAAAAGAATAAAAGAGTTAATAAAATGGAATGCATTGATGGCAGTCACAATTTAGGAAAAGGATTTCTTTCTGCATGAGCTTATAAACTAGAAGCGTGTGTATGGGAAAATAGCAGATCTATATCAACAGTTAGGTCTATATCAACAATTTGGAGACTCAAAAGGGAAAGTGTGGCAGCCCCTGGTTGGGGAGTGGGTATGACTGGTAGTGGGGAAGGGTCCTTGTTTGTTTAGCCCCACAAATATATTTTTAAAATCAGCTAGCTAAAATTTTCTCTCCTAAAGCTTGCCTCCCCCACAACTGCCCAACTACCAGTAAGAAGCGAAACGAATGAAGTGTGGAAGCTGGGTTAATTGCTCCATTTTCTGATCCCTTAGAGGCATATATGAATTTGGAGTCAAGATGTCATGTCAGTTTCTCCTGGGCCTCTAAAACATGTGTGTGTGTGTGTGTGTGTGTGTGTGTGTGTGGAAAAGGAGACATGTGGTCCTCTTTGCCTGTGGCTTTGAGCGCCCTAGGTACCGAGCAAGTCCTAGGTCCATCTCAGTAACTCTTTTGGCCGTTCCTTGACACCATCCAAAGAATGACACCAGAATCTAGTCAGACCCAAGAGGGCTTTGGGCAAGAATAAGCATCATCTTAAATATATGGGAAATTTTCATTATTGATGAGAATGACTCATCTTCTCAATGTCTCCTTGCCCTTATTTTAGTGCCCTTCTAAGATTTTGTCCCTAGCTTCTTAATGCTGCGTTTTAATCCAGGCTGTCTAGGAGGAAAAGGGCATGATGCAGTTAATTCAGAGAAATAGATCTGAAAGTTAATTATTTCTGAATCAGAAATAATTCTCTCAGCTATCTGGCTGGGAGGGAGCTGTCTCATGCCAGTGAGGACAGCATCTATCCTGCTGCAGACACAAGATGACTCCATGCCCTGCATTCCCACAGCCAAAAGAGAGATGCTCATCTCTCAAGGCATTTCTTAGAGGGTCTTTTCATTTTTCTAACTAAATTTGGATTAATGATCTGAGCAAAGTGACTCTGGTGCCCATTTATCTTTTAGGGGTTTCAAAATGTGCTCACTTTGAAATGTTATTCAGAGCAGAATCCCCTGTGATATTTATCATGGATGGGGCATGTCCCCAAATTCTCTTAGCGGTTCCATCTAGTGTATCTTTGTAATAGAACAAAACCTAAATTTCGATAGATTCTACAGGTTCCTGTGTGTGTGTGTGTGTGTATGTCTTGTTATATATATTTTGTATGTTGGTACTCGTTTCTAACCAGAGCCTTAAAGTAACTATATAAACTTAAGTTAGCAGAGGATTGGCTGACTATTAGAGTTGTTTAACAACTACTTGGTTATTGCCAGAGTACACAGGTTTAAATGGGAATGTTCCAGCCAAAACCAGAAGAATCATTGATTTCAGAGTAGAATTCTACCTGGTAAAGAACTTTTGGGGGCAAACTTCTCTCTTTGGGGTATGGGAAATCATTAGTAGCATACTTTGTTGCTCTCTTTCTGAGTACCTGGAACTTTGTCCAGCATGGTCAGGTTTTAACCAGGGGGGAAATAATCATGGGTAAAGTGTCAGGATTGTAATTGTGCACCCATCTGGCAAATACTTCCACTGTCTCTAGCTCATGAGTCAGAAGAAAGGGGTTTTCATACTATATCCCTGATATTAGTCATGCCTTTCATTTCTTTCCATTCCCTTAGTCAGGGATTTGAAAGCCCGACTGGGTCTTTTCTGCTTTTAACAGTATCCCTGATCATAAATTTCTAGTGAATGAAAACTCAGACAACAGCTTCTGCTGATGTCATGTGAGGCAAAACAGAAACCAGCTGGGCTTGCTCATGGCAGTGTTGCTCTTGGACCAAGATCCAGGATTGTTATTAGACAGAAAATACCAACAGGAGGCATTTCAGCCTTGCATCTCAGTCCCATGTGTGCCCAGCTGACGATCATATCAGAACTGTGTTCTATGAAGAGCTAATAATGTCAAAAATAAAAATGGATTAGAAAAAACATGATAAAATAAATGCAACAGAAAGTCAAAAGATGGAGAGGAGTCTTTAACCAGACAGAGAGGAAACCAATGTCTCTAGGAGAAAGATTTTGCTCTTGCCGCTTATCTTTTTTCCATTCATTCTTCCTGTCAAACATGGCTGATGTTATTCAGGAAGTTTCAGTGATTTAATTAATAGTCATTAAGGCATAGCAGCCTCCAAGCTATTAAAGTACAGATGACAACATAAGCCCCCCAACTGGCCTCAACCTAACCCTGTGTGCTCAAACTGAAGTGAGATTTGCATTCCAAGAAATTGTGCAAGGCTTTTAGCTTCTCTTTCCAGATTTTCAGTAACCTGGTGCTCAGTGACAATAACCTAGTCCTTTGATTTATTTATATCCTTCTTTAACACTTAACTACTTAGAGAAACACTGGCAGTGATGGTACAGGTTATAGTTGGATGAATAGCATCCTAGTGATCTTAAGAGGAGCTACAGGTAGAGCTAGGTCAGAGGTCCAAACCTTGTCTCTCAGCTTGTCAACCAAAAGGGGCACACCCTGCAAGGTGCTTTGCTGAGACTGTGGATTAATTTTCACAACAATCCCATGAGGAAGGACTAATTAACTCCATTTACAGAAGCTTAGACAGATTGAGGAGTTTCCCAAGGTGTATAGCCAATACATGACAAAGCCAGAATTAAAACTGAGGTATGTTTGATTTTAAACTCAGGGTCAATCACTTCCCCGTTCTGCCTTCCCAGGGATGTGAGCTTACTGTGGGCATGTGCCATAAAGGGAAACGGAAACTGAGAAATGAACCTGTTAGTAATACAAATGTTTTAAAATTCCTTTTCAATCTTGAATTACTCAGAAAAACAGTAAGATATACCAATTGTCAACATTTTGTGTTGCGCACCGATATAGAGTTTCTGCCTTTAAAACCTAGCTAGTTGTTTGTACCTCAACTCACTGGCTTTCCACATAGTCAAGTGGAGAACAATACATTGAATCCCAGTTAATCTAATCCCTCAGACTGATTGATGCTGGTCTGGGGATGACAAAATTGAGAATATGGATGAGTCTTTTATCATGGAAACAGTGAAATATGTGGGGTATAGCTGAAAAGTCATCATGCTGTGCTCTGTGCCCATTGACCTGTTTGTCAATGAACAAGAAGCTTCATCATGCTGAAATACATAAATTCAAGTTCAAATATTCTTTGGAGACTGGATCTCCCATAATTCAAGTAGGTTAGTACTTTTAATCTTACTACAGAAATTTGGATATTGGGGCAATAATCTACTTACTTGGTTTAATTTTAGAAAAGAATATAAACCTCCTATTTACTGAGGCAGACTACCAGCTGGAATGCCTTTTCTCAGAATCCTGTAAAAGTCTAATGTTTTGAGCTTAACACAGTACTTGGAGTAAGCTGACTTAAAATATCCTCCTCCCCAGCATCTTCCCATTCCAATTTGCACCCTTTACTTATGCAAACTAGCTTCCTTATAGTCTGGGGCTCCTTGTACCAACACGCCAGTTGGAAAGTTGGAATAGAAACATAAAAAAGAACAACACAATTCTAGCTTCATGATACATGCCCTGATTTATCACCACCAGACTAGAAAGAGGCCAAGTGCCAGACAATAAAGTTTAGTGGGAAGTTCTGTGCTAAGTCTCTTCAGTCTTCTAAAATGCTCTTTTTAAAAAGAGGAGACTGGAAATGGTTACCATTTTAAACACTGTTTGAAGTACTGCCACACTAGAAAATGAATGGGACGTAGATGTCAATACACAGGGAAAGAGTCACTGAAATATGTTCATATGATCAGCCTCCTTCACTTTCTGTGTTGCAAACTCAAGGAGCAGATTGAATGTAAAGGAATATGTCTGTGGGCTGAATCTAGCAGGGAACCACACCTCTAGCAGGAGTGATTGATGTAACCTGAGGAGCACTGTGCTCCTACTACCTACTAGGCAGTAGTGGGGCCGGGGCTTCAGTGCCTTGATGAATTGATACTCTAGTTATGGAGATATAAACGTTAAACAAAATGGTAAATCAAGGAAATACATAAATTCCAGGTGAGCCATGCAGATAATAAGAACAGTAATTAAAAGGAGAAAGTGATCGTTGTGGAACAGATGAGACTTTAAGGAGGATGCTGCATTTGAAGAACGACTCAGATTCTGATAAGGTGGAAGGGAGGGGAGAAGATTCTGGGTGAGAAGGGTGACATGGGTGAAGGCAAAGGAAGGGAATGTGAGTGAATTATTCAAAGGCAGCATACATCTATGATGCTCTGGTGTACATAGCCTGTATATATTTATCTAATATATATACTAGTATATATACTTGATTCACTACTTTATGAGTTCATAGGAAAGTTGTTCCAAAGATAAGAAAACCAAGGTTTAGAAGGTTAAAAGGCTTTGCTGAGGCTACAGAGTAGCCAGGGGTTGAACTAGAACAAAAATGCAGGTCTTCGGATTTTGACTACAGTCACCCTTTCTCTGTGCCAGTCAGTGTAGATTCCTTTCATTTCATAATTTAGGCCAGTCCAGGGTGAAGAGGTCACATAAGGGAGGAATAGGAGGAAAGGTTAGCAAGAGAGAGCCTGAAGCCAGGTTGTGGAGGGCTAGAATCTAGGAAGTGAGTCATGCTAAATGAATATTACCTCCCAGGTGGGTTAAGGCTTCCCTGGGCAAAAGGCCTGAGGTGAAAGTTAGCATCAGAGGCCTCTATTTATTTAAGGGCAGTTCCCACTGGGTATCCACAGTCTAAGGCTACTGTGTTCAGAGATACATGGGAGAAGCTGCCTGGCAGGATGAGGTTCGGTATGATTGTATATTCTCTGAAATTCTCAGTTATGCACAAGGGGAAGAAAGAGACCAGAAGGGGCTTTGAGAACTCTTAAAATCCTGTCATAGCATAATCTGTCCATGGACTGTAAAGGTCCATGAATGGAATGGAGTCTATTCATGGATCTGAAGTTTCAGAGCATGTATTCTAAACATGAGCCTATCCTTCCTTTTGGGCTTCCCTGGTGGCCTAGACAGTGAAGAATCTGCCTGTGGTTCAGGAGACCCGGGTTCAACCCCTGGGTTGGTAAGATCCCCTGGAGAAGGGCATGGCAGCCCACTCCAGTATTCTTACCTGGAGAATTCCATGAAAAGAGGAGCCTGGCGGACTACAGCCATGGGGTCTCAAATAGTCCGACAGAACTGAGTGACTAACACTTTTACTTTCTTTCAGCCTTCCTTTAGGTCAGGGGGTCCAAAATCATTACTTTCAATTTCTTTTTTACTATTTTGTTTTCTCAAACATTCATTTTATGTATTTCAAAATAGTGTGTCTGTGAGCCAAGACAAGCCAAAAATAAAAGACTGAAATATACCAACTGAAAATGAAACACCTAGATATGGACTACCTTCAAAGCATAAAGAAATATTTCCAAATGCCATGTAGCTAATTAAAAAACTAACAAAGCAAAAATACTATCACCATATCTTTCTATAGCCTCCTTAAATCTTTTTTAAGGCTATGTATGAATCAATGAATAAATTAAGGGAAATTTATTATTTTTCCTCTTGGGGAATTATATTTCTAAAACAAGCATTTCCTATCCGCCCTGTCCATCTGGAGAGGTACATAAACACAAAATCAAAAATAGATGAAATCATGTCTTCTTAAAATAAATAACAATCTGAGAAAACATAAACAAAAGCTTCATCTTGGAAAAATCTTCATTAATGTTCTACTCAAAAGCTATTGAACTCATTTTGATTTCCATGAAGGATACTATTTTGTCAAGCACAGATAATTCTTAGAAGGGAACGCCTGCAGGCCATAATAAATACATTTTGGACAGAGCAAAATAAACAGCAAAATGAGCTGGGACCAGATTTATTACTATCTTGATAAAGTATTTGATAAAGAGTTTAACAACATGGTGACTTCCCTTCTGCAAAATGCCAAGCTAATAGCCACAAACTTCAGGAATATTTTGTAAGGTTAGATGGGTAAGTAGAAAAGTGCTTGATAAATTGGTCAAATGAAAGGAAGTATATAGATGGGGGAAATCTCTGGTGGTCCAATTCAATCCCTGGTCAGGGAACTAAGACCCCACAAGCTCCACCATGCTGTGAGGTCCCCCCCCAACAAAAACAACAACAAAAAAGAATAAGAGAGAGAGAGAGCATATAGAGGCTGGCCTCTGAGCTAATGAGAAACCTGCCTAGGGTGACTAAACTGTGTTTTTTGCAGACATCAACTGATTAAGCTGTTTGAGGTTGCTACTGCTGCTAAGTCGCTTCAGTCGTGTCCGACTCTGTGCGACCCCATAGATGGCAGACCACCAGGCTCCCCCATCCCTGGGATTCCCCAGGCAAGAACCCTGGAGTGGGTTGCATTGCCTTCTCCAATGCATGAAAGTGAAAAGTGAAAGTGAAGTCGCTCAGTCCGACTCCTAGCAACCCAATGGACTGCAGCCTACCAGGCTCCTCTGTCCATGGGATTTTCCAGGCAAGAGTACTGGAGTGGGGTGCCATTTAGAAAGATTAAAAAAAAAACCTGGTCATCATCAGAATAAAATTTCATGTCCTTCCACCTCAGGGCAAACAGCACACACCCACACATTCGTTGGACATGCTACACAATCCTGGTTCTCTTCAGGAAGAAGCTAGTAAAATTAGAGAAGACTCAGGAAAAGGCAACAAAAGTAATCACCATAGTAAAAAGACTTTTATATCTGGCTAGATTACAACTTTGAGGCATTCTTAGGGGGAGAGTTCAAGAGGAATCTTGAAAAATAAGAGTATCCTCATTTTATCCAAAATAGTGAAGTCTGTGTTTTCCCAGACAGCTAGTGGTTAAAGCATCTCTTTTTATTGCTCTGTCTTCTTTTTCCTCAGGGGAAGTCAGGGGGTCAAATTGAGTGAGAGAGACACAGGGACCAGGTGAAAAATGCCAGGTTTGAATTGGAAAGACGGCTGAACAGAAAGAGAAAAATTCATCCTCTTGGAGGGTTTCAGCATCAAAGACATCCACCACGAGCTCTGTGCAGGCCCAATGTGACAGTGATTATATTCTGAGACAGAACTGGGCCAAAGGGCCATTCTAAAAATTCTCTGCAAGTTTACTTAATGAAAATTCTAAGCTGTGGAATGTTTCATAGTGCCCAAGACCTGGCTATGAAACTCAGCTCCGTAAAATGTGAAATAATTCGGTAGCCACTGAACTCACGAGTGTCTGAGCAGCCAATTAAGGTAATGAAGATCAAAATAAAGGGAGAGAGATAGCATTTATTGGACAATTATTGCATGCCAAGTGTCATGTAATGCTTACAACAAACAGCCTTGTGAAAGAAGTATTCCTGTGCAGAGTTCATAAATAAGAAAACCAAGATGCATGGAGACTGATAATGAAGGCAAACGACAGTGGAAGTGAGCAGAAACTCTAAACTGTCTGGAATCTTTTTTTTAAGAAAGCCTTTCCAAATAGTCTCTTTTGGCTTTCCAGTTTAGGTGTCAGTCTAGTTTAGGAATGGCAACATACTCCAGTATTCTTGCCTGGAGAATTCCATGGACAGAGGAGCTTAGTGGGCTATAGTCCGTAGGGTCACAAAGAGTTGGACGTGACTGAGCGACTGACACACACATCCTTTCAGTTACCATCAGCCCTCTATTCCAGATCATCCCTCTGACTTTTCCCTCAGTGTGAAACTATCACTCTGAGTTAATTTTTTGCTTGCTTTTTCCCTCCTCCAGCTGATTACCACTCCCAAGGCTGAAAACAGCATGTATGTGCAGCAGCGAGATGAGTATCTGGAAAGTTTCTGCAAGATGGCCACCAGGAAAGTCTCCGTGATCACTATCTTTGGCCCTGTCAGCAACAGCACCATGAAAATCGACCACTTCCAGCTAGGTTCTTTGAAACAACTTAATTATTATATTATTGCTTTTCTCTTAGCTAAGGTGGGGCATGCCTTATGGGAGAGGTCAGTGGGGAATCAAAAAGAAAATTTGGGTTTCACAGAGGGCTTTCTTGTGGTAACAAAGGTCAGTCTGCCTAACTACTTATGTAACTGTCTTGGATGGTTCTGGCTTAAGTTTTGAACACTTAAATGAAAAATATGCAAACAGTCTACAGTTTGAAAGTCAGTAAGATGGAGGAAAAGGAGAGAAGTAATTCAGGGGGCAGGGGTGGGGGAGGTATTCTGACATAGAATAGCCAGAGAGGTATTCTGACACTTTCTTCTGTATCCTGCGTCTTCTTGCCTGTGAGCAGCACCATCTGATCCTCCTTCAGCCTCTATGCTGCAGGCAACTCCCTCATAAATAGGGTCCCGCACACCCTTCAGAGTCCTTAACTCTGGCCAGGCTCGGGGACAGTGAGCGGGGGCTGAGAGAAGCTGTGAAACTAAATGAAAAGTCACTGGAAATATGGACTGAATGGTGCCCACGTCCTTTTGGAAAGCAGAAGAATTTGGCTGAATGTAGAGCTTTCACAATTTTTCATATTAATGATGCACGTGAGGCATACAACTCAGTGTTGAGCAGCTAAGGTCTAACTCGCCATGGTTCTCGTGGGAACATGGCAAAATTTACTGTGAGTAGTTATGCCTCATGGTCAGAAGCCCCAGATCTGACCCACCCAGTTTCTTTTATAATTATTATATCTCTAGAGCTTTATTTAAAAACAAAAATCTTTCTTTCTTACATAATTTTTCTACTTTTGTTTACTGTTGTTTCAACTATAATGAAAATCCTTTTTGTGCCATTTGCATATCCTGTGTATTTTTCATAAAATATATTTTGTCTGAAAGCACATAAAGCATACTTTTTCCCATTAGGTAGCAATTTCTGAGGGAGTGGGGGGCCTTACCGCAGCATGTGGGAATCTTACTTCACCTACCAGGGATCGAACCCTTGCCCTCTCCTGTACAGGGTCTTAACCGTTAGATCACCAGGGAAGTCCCTCCATTAATTAGCATTTAACTTCATTACATATAACATCTTACTTCACGGATTTTTCTGTCACATACTCTTGGTGCTATGAATACATATCAGTTGTAATTAATCATGATAATGTCTGTTGATTTTTAACATAGTCTAGCTTTCTAAATCATGTATGTATTTTTTACTTTTGTAAAGACACTTAGCGTGAGATCTATCCTAAACTAATTTTTAAGTGTTCAATACAGTATTGTTTACTATAGGTACAGTGTTGGCCAGCAAGTCTCCCTAATTTATTTAGGTATGACGTTTTAGCTGTGCATTTTCTATTTTTATTAGCTTACTTTTCCCTGAGATAGTTCAAAAGGAAAATAAATAGCATCTTTTCCAATGTCTTAGGAGCCCCTGGTGGCTCAGATGGTAAAGAGTCTGCCTGCAGTGCAGGAGACCTGGGTTCTATCCCTGGGTCAGGAAGATCCCCTAGAGAAGGAAATGGCAACCCACTCCAGGATTCTTACCTGGAGAATCCCATGGATGGAGGAGCCTGGCAGGCTACAGTCCATGGGGTCACAAAGAGTTGGACATGACTGAGCAGCTTCACTTTTTCAATGTCTTATCATAAGTCATTAGTGGAGCAGTGATTGATTTGTGGACATTTATTCCTTATAATGCATATGTTTTTCAGGGAGAACAAAAAGAGAGAGTTACCTTACTCTTTGTTGGTAAGAGTCCTTACCAACAACAATCAATAATCATACATGCAAAAGACACAAAAGAGGTTCTAGAGTCAACGAGGTTCAAATCCACAATCATAATGTATTTGCATGTAACCTTAAGCAAGTTACTTCCTAAGTCTCAGCTTAGAACATAATTATATCCATTTCATAGGTGATGATGAGTATTTAATGCTGTTACTGTGGTCATCACCACCATTTGATCTAGAGATCAATGAGCTGTCAGAGGGCCTAGAGCACTATAATTGAAAAATACTTGTAATTGCTTTCTGCTCATTAACAAGGAATCCTCACAGCTGCTCCTCAGGGTCAGGCTGCCTTAATCCTGTTGGTGACAAAACTGAAGCCCAAGAGACTAATACTGCAAAGCCACATATTTGGTGCTTAACTGGGAGTCAACCTTTGGCTTCCAGGATTGTCAAATAGTAGCAGGAGCCAGTGAGCTTGATTATAATCCAGATGTCTTGAGAGGAAGTAGACACCCAATCCAGTACAGAGATTTGCTGGCTGGTGATGAAAGCCTTCCTCCACCAGGTGTTCTTGGTATCGAATGTGTCACCCACCAACTCACACAAAGAATTCTTGTTCCTTATTTCAGAGAAGTTTGGAAAAATCATTATGTCTTCCATCTCAACCTGTGCATGGTCCTAACTGTTACAAACATCTGGTGCTGCCTTGGCAACCTGTTAGCATGAATCCTGATGTCTTTTAGACATCTGGATTGAATATGAACTGTAGAGGATGAAGATTTTCTTTTCTGCCTTATTGGAAGTCAGGTATTGTGATTTGGTTGTTTGCCACTCATTGAATGGCAGCTTGGACATGATTTGGGGGGCCTTGGCTTTTGTTCCTCATCTAATTCCTGGAAGGCCTATCTCTCCTTGTGTCATGTCCCAGGTTACCTTTATGGGAAAGGCTGTAGTGCATTCAGCCAAGACTGGGAGTCAGCCATGAGAAAATAGAAGTTGGCATGCACCATGGTCTCAGTGAACCAATCTCCAGCCTTGACTGATTTTCAGTTGGAAATCTGTCAGATGGCCTTACTTTCCTTAAAAATGAATCAAGCACTCTCTACTCTTCCAGACTTTTACAGGGCCTTAAAAACAGGCCCACATCCAGCTACAATGTGGGCTGTACTCACCAGCTGGTCCATCTTGCTAAATGTATTGAATTATAGGTGATGAACCTACACATACCAGGAAGCCTACTTTAAGATTTCAGTCATTAGCCTAATGAAAGTTATTCATTCTTGAGAAAATTCCAGTGCAGAATAAGCCTATCTGGTTTTGGCAGCCCAGAGTATATTATACATGAGGGTTTAGAATGACCCAACATACACACACACACAAATTAAAAATAAAGAAAAAAATTTTTAAAGATAAAAAATAGAGTGACCTAACACATAAAGGCATTCTTAATTGTCAGAGGTATTTAAAATATCAATTTGAGATAGAAATATTGGTGTCAATGCTAAGAGGATGAATTATAGAGGAAGTTTGTCAGGTGGGAAGGAGTTGCTGGCTAAAGGCATTTTATTACAGAATGAAAAGAGACGAGGGAGGAAAACATAGAGGGCATGTATATATGTATATTTATATGCTTAGTGAAATATATAGGTGAAAAATATTTTTGACACTGGTATTGATCACTAAACTTTAAGAGCTAATTTTTTTGGGGGAGAAGGCAATTTTTTGATAGCTTCTTCTGAAGGAATGAAAAAAGGAAAGAGGAAGAGTTGGTGAAAGTGGACTGTGGCAACAAGGAGAGGCAATTCTGATTCCTTAGTCATAAGAGTAGGGAATTCCTAGGTGAGTCTCTGGAGTAACTTTTATACCTGAGACTGATAGAATCTATTTCAGCCTAGAATATTCTGTCTTTTATCCTGTTGATAATTGTCCTTTATGGACAACCTCACAACCATCCAGATCCATAATAAGGCAGAAATGCTGCTTTCCCACAGAAGCATGTGAAAAATTGACCCTTTGTCCCAATTCCTCCCTTCTTCAGTGGTGGTAATGCCTGGCAGCTGCCTTCTCTAGACCCTGCCACTCTGTGCTAGGAGATAAGGCTGGATGAGTGACCAGACTTTCAAACAATGCCTTTGGTGTCCCTCTCTGTTTATTCAGGTTTTGATTATCAATCAGTTTGTCCCCTAACTTGTGTGACCACCCATTGCACTGCCTCTAACATCAAGCTTATCACTGTCAAGATCAACCCCTGACAAGCAAGGGATTAAAAGTACCTGATAAGTCAAGTGTATAAAACAAGTGCTTGAAGAATGTGGTGGAGGGACAAGCTCTTCCAGTTGCAGTTATCATGGTATTGTATGTATCACAGAGTTCTGAAAAGGGAGTGGATTTAAAGGAGGAGCCTTGAAACTGAGTAGATTTTTTTTTGATAGATGATGACGCTATCAAAAGTACTTTTTGTTTTTATTCAATTTTTTAAACAAATGATACATTTTTTTTGGATTCTAGTGTCAACACTATATAAAAAGGCATTAACAGACAAGTCTTACACCCATTCTTGACCCTTATTATTCTCTGCTCCCACAGTAATGTTTATGATTCCTTGTTGATCCATTTAATGGCTTCTTTGTGCAAACACAAATCAATATAGATACCTATATTCCCCTTCTCTCTCTTTTTTAAACAGAAAAGTGTTTTATTACCTTGAGTTGGAAAAATCTTTTTTTTTTTTTCACTTGAAATATAGCTGATTTACAGTGTTGTATTAGTTCCAGGTATATAGTGAAGTGATTCATGTATGTATAATTATAAACTCTTTTTTAGATTCTTTTCTGTTACAGATTATTACAAAATATTGAATACAGTTCCCTGTGCTACACAGTAGTTCCTTATTCCTTTTCCCTTCTTTTTATACAAACAATTAGTTCAGTTCAGTCACTCAGTCGTGTCTGACTCTTTGCGACCCCACAGAAGCATCTGAAAAATTGACCCTTTGCCCCAAAGGGTCTGCAGCATGCCAGGCCCCTGTCCATCACCAGTTCCCAGAACTTGCTCAGACTCATGTCCATCAAGTTGGTGAGGACATCCAACCATGTCATCCTCTGTTGTCCCCTTCTCCTCCTGCCTTCAATCTTGCCCAGCATCAGGGTCTTTTCTTCTGAGTCAGTTCTTCACATCAGGTGACCAAAGTATTAGAGCTTCAACTTTAGCATCAATTCTTCCAATGAATATTCGGTACTGATTTCCTTTAGGATTGACTTGTTTGATCTCCTTGCAATTCAAGGGACTCTCAAGAGTCTTCTCTAACACCACAGTTCAAAAGCATCAATTCCTTGGCACTCAGCTTTCTTTATGGTTCATCCATACATGACTAGTGGAAAAACCATAGCTTTGACTAGACATAGCAAAGTAATGTCTCTGCTTTTTAATATGCTGCCTAGGTGGGTAATAGCTTTTCTTCCAAAGAGCAAGCATCTTTTAATTTCATGGCTGCAGTCACCATCTGCAGTGATTTTGGAGCCCAAGAAAATAAAGTCTGTCACTGTTTCCATTATTTCCCCATCTATTTGCCATGAAGTGATGGGACCAGATGCCATGATCTTAATTTTTTTGAATGTTGAGTTTTAAGCCAACTTTTTCAGTCTTCTCTTTCACTTTCATCAAAAGGCTCTTTAGTTCCTCTTTGCTTTCTTACATAATGGTGGTGTCATCTACATATCTAACGTTATTGATATTTCTCTGGGCAGTCTTGATTCCAGCTTGTGATTCAGCCAGCCTGGCATTTTGCATGATGTACTTTGCATATAAGTTAAATAAATAGGTGACAATATACAGCCTTGACGTACTCCTTTCCCAATTTGGAACCAGTCTGTTGTTCCATGTCCGGTTCTAACTGTTGATTCTTGACCTGCATACAGATTTCTCAGGAGACAGGTAAGGTGGTCTGGGATTCCCATCTCTTGAAGAATTTTCCACAATTTACTATGATCCACACAATCAAAGACTTTAGCATAGTCAATGAAGCAGAGTAGATGTTTTTCTGGAATTCTCTTGCTGTTTCTATCATCCAGCGGATATTGGCAATTTGATCTCTGGTACGAATAATAGTATATTACATATCTGTTTTGCATTGTTTTTCACCTAAGTGTATTTCCCAGAAATCTTTTCTTATTAGTACATAGAGATCTTCCTCATTCTTTATTAAGCTATTCTGAGATTCTACCATAGTTTATTTAACCACTCCCCTTGTTGAGGAACATTTGGATTGCTTTCAGTATATTGTTATTATAAACAATTTCAGAATTAACCTGTACACATATCACTCTATGTATGTGGGTATTTCTTTACAGTAGATTCTGAGAAGTAAGTTTGTTGGGCCAAATGCAAAGTATATCTAGCTTTGGTAGATATCACCAAATTTCTCTCCATGTAAGTTGTATGATGTTGCAAAACCACCAAAAAATGTAAAAGAATGTCCATATCTCCAAACATCTTCAATAGAATGTATGATCAAATTGTGAATGTTTTTAGCCAATGCTGTATGTGAAAAATGGTATCTTAAATGTGATATAGTATTGGGTTGCATTTCTCTTTTTATAAATGTGATTGAAGATTTTTTTCATATATTTCAGGCAACTTTATACTTTGTTTTTAGTATCCTTTGCTTATTTCTCTGTTGGGTTGTTGGTTTTTTTTAATCTCAATTTATAGGTATTCGTTATAAGATACTGACATAGTTCGGGGGTGGAGTTCAGGAGTTTGTTTTAAAAAGTGTTGCTCAAGTGATTCTGATTTGCAGTTAAATTTGGTCTACAGCAGAAAGTTGAGTGGCAGAGAGAAGGGACGAGAGGTCTAGAAATGTAGATTAGCACCCTATTTTAGAGAATTTCAAATACCAGGAGAGAGAATTCAAACTTAATTTGGTAAATTAAGTGAAGTCACTAAAGATTTCTAAACATATTTTTCAAATAAATTTTAAATACCTTTTTAGGTTTAGTAGTCAGTCTGTAGGACAGAAAAGCACCTGACAGGACACATTCTTCACAGATAAGACAAATTGTTCTTTCTAGGGACCAAATGTGAGCTTTAGCTTTGAGATCTCACATACCCATTCAATTCAGTCACTCACTCATCTCACAACTGAGTGCTAGGCAGGGAAACAACTCACTCATAGAGTAAAACAGGAAGGAACAAGTGGATTGACAACAAAATTAGTTAAATTTACCCATTATCAACTAAAAACAATTCAGCCTCTGCTGGAGTCTTTACTTCCAGATTTATCCAAAATGCAACCAAGAGATTTTTGGTCTATACTGACTTCTTGAATAGGATAATTATATTTTAAGTGCCTTATAAGTATGTTTTATTTACTTTGTGCATTACTTCAGGAGAGAGTTTATTAAGGTCTGGTGGTGCAGCAAAGTCAGTGACACTCAAAAGACCAGAATGCCAAAGGAAAATGAAATATATTACTCATTCATTGCCCAAAAAGGAAACTGCACCACACCTCACAAGGTCATGGGAGAAATACCAAGTTTTGGTCAGGAAGCAGAAGCCAGAGTGAAGAGAGAGCCTAGACCATGGTTATTATTGGGGTTCCCATGGGAAACACAAGATGAGCTGGGTGAACAGTTGGTTAGGCTTGGGGCTGTAGGGTATTTCCTAATTGCCCAGTTCCTGGCCCTGAGACAACTGATCAGTGCTCCTGGGGCCATGAGCCAGATAGATCTGGGTCCAAGGATTGTAATTTTAACATGCCTTCCAGGTGTTCATAATGAAAGTATACATTGAATCCTACTTTGAAAAACTGCCAGAGCAGATTTGAAGCTCCTGAAGCAAAGGGAGAGCTGAAGTTGTCCAAGGACATTGGAGGAATGGCCTGAATTTAGGGATGAGAAGGAGGAGGAGGAGGAGAAACCATGGGTACCACAGAGAGGCAGCAGTCACAAATGGAGGCTTTACATACAATGCCTGGCATACAGGTGGTGTTTAATAAGTTGCCTTTGAAGTTGAATTTTTCTGCAGTGTCGTTGCTGTCTATAGTCAGACATGGAAAAACAAATACATGAAGAAATTTACTACTACCTGAATTTAACCACTGACTTTTGGAGTTGGAGTTCTTAAAGGGTGGGAAACTAGGCAAGTGCTTCATTTACAGGGCCAGTCCTCATTGGCACACAGCAGAGCTCACCCTCCCAGCTGTCCCTCCTCAAAAATCTTAGGTCCAGGGGCAGGTTGTGTGAAATGACCAAATCCCACAAAATGGGCTTAGATCTATGAATCATTTTAGCTGGATTGGGACCATGTGGACAATTTATAGGATGTATTCTAAGGAATGTTTGCTTTTAAGCCCTGCTATCCTTAACGAAGACTAGAGAGCTTTGGCAGAATCTGGATAAATTTAATAAGAAGTTCCAAATCATCAAAAGCAAAAATGAATGTATATTGAGGATAAAAAATAGCGTTCCTAGGTTCAAGATAAAATCTGATTTGTAAAGTGTTAAAATCAAAACATGAGTTGTTAAGGATGCTTACAAATCAGTTTTTTAATGATTTCCTTCATCATCATAATTCATATTAATATTATTAATCACAAAATAAAATATACTCCTTGTTAAAATTTAAATAACATAGACTCACATAGAGTAAACAGTCAAAGTTTCTACCTCACCTCTTCTCACTCCCCAGAGGCAACTATTATTATTAGCTCTATGTCCTGGAGTTTTTCCTATGTATATTCCCATATGGATGTATTTTCTTTTGCTTTATTTCCTTTTAACCAAGAATAACATCATATTTCGTATTTTATTCTGCAAGTTGCTATTTTTACTCAATAGATTAAACAAAAATCAACAGCATGAAGAACTTAACAATTCTTTAAATTAACATATTTTATTAATGATAGTATTCTTTCCCCTCTCATTATGATCTACTTGGGAGAATCAAGCTTCTTATTTATATACTTTCAACAGTCTTAATCAAGTAAACCAAAGTAATACCTAAATTATAATTGCCCCCTTTATATCAATAAAAGCAGAATAGTCTGTGATACTTGGCTGTATCACCTTTGTAGATACAAAATTGTGTTTTTTTCTACTGTAGTACTATTCATTGGGTAACAGTGTTGATAATAACCAATAAATTTCCTTCTGTAATAGATTTATTATCACATATTTGCTAACTTTAACATTTGTAAATTTTTTTAAAACACAGGGGATTATTCTACCAGTAAAAATTTTAACAGGGTTGAGGGAAGCACTGTGACCTGTATGGGAGGAAGGAAGTAAATAAACCTGTCTATCATTTCCAAAGTGTTTTCTAGGCATGGTATTAATAGTTTGCCATGTTCATACTTCCCATTAACCCAGTGGCACCTGCAGGAACCTCTCTGAATTATAACAGTTTTCAGGGCTTGATATTTGAAAAAAAAAAAAAAAAAAATATATATATATATATATATATATATAGCATTAAGAACTTCTATAAATTCAGTAACATTTTACTTAAACTTATATTCACTTACAAAATTTATCTTATGAAAAGCTTGATTTTTTTGGAGTCAAATGACCAGACTTGAACATAGGCTTTTTATTTTTCTCTATGGCAATGACTGGAGAATTCCATGGGCAGAGGAGCCTGGCTGGCAACAGTCCATGGGGTTGCATAGAGTCGGACATGACCAAATGACTAACATACACACACATAGCAATGACATAGTTCACTGTGTCCCCCAAAAAAGTCTCTAATATAAGGAAGGAACAGACACCAATTTTAGACTTAAATAAATAACTAAAACTAAAATAAAATTTTAAGTGAAATAAAGCTTAACCAAAGAATCTGGGTCTGTTTCCCTGGTAAATCACAATAATGACTCATCCCCAGGCTGAGTTGGCAATCTCCTTCCAGGAATGACTCAGTAGCTTCATTCTAAAGTTGCTCCTTCTGATTCACTATAACCAGGGTGGGCAGAGATGGGGTTCAATCATCTTTGGAAGAGTGACTTTCAAAATGAGCTTATTTATTCATTTGCTTCTACATTTGTTCACTTTGGAAACATTAGTTCAAACAAAGTACTATTTGAATGTGTGCAACTAATGAAAGCAGTTCTAATTAACTCTGGATGGAGGCTCAGATCCTCCACCCTTTGGTTTCCCACTGATTTCTGTTTTTGTCACATCCGTATTTATTCACATTTCATTTGCCTTAAGACAATGAGAAACCTATGCGAGTTATGGATGAAGAGGACTTGGTAGACCAGCATCTCATCAGCAAGCTGAGGAAGGAATATGGAATGACCTACAATGATTTCTTTATGGTGCTCACAGATGTGGACCTCAGAGTCAAGGTATGGGTTCCTGTTTTGGATGGTGCAGTGCCATTCCTTGAGAGAGAAACTCATTTTGGGGGGATCAGTGAGTCTATTATACATACAACTGAGCACAAATTATTTCATAAATGGGAAAGTTTGGAAATGGTCCAAATAGTTACCACTGTCCTATAGAATTTGTGGTCTATGGAAAATATTGGATTGGATGACCCCCTGTAGCTCAGTTACTTGACTCAGACTAAATTCTTCTGTAGCATTAAAGTTATGCATTCACTAGACACTTGTTGAATGGCTATGATGTGTCAGACCCTGGTGATAAAAAGTGAAGAGCATTTAGCTTCTGTTTTAAGAAAACTCAGATTTAATATAGGCATACTTTGGAAGAACCTGGAAATTTATCTCCTGATTCAGCATGGGCAAAACAGTAGGGTTTTACACCTAATTTCTTCCTATGATAGGGACAAAAGTTCTGAACCATGAAAAATTATGCCATGTAGTCATAATAATAATAATAATAATAATAATAACTAACTTTATTGAGTTCTTTCATTATGCCAAGTACTCACCTCAAATATTTACAATTCTTATCTCAAACCTGTAAGAGAAATAACAAGTATTATCTTTGTTTCAAAGAGGCCAGGAATCTAGAGTTGTTAAGTAACTTGCCCAACTTCACCCAGTTAATGTTAGACTTCATACACACATAGATTGACTCCAGAGCCCATGCTTACATGAAAATCCTTAGGAAAAAGGCTGCCCGGGCTATCAGAATAGCTAGTTCAGCCTGAAGTATTTTTCTGGATCTGGAGAGAGATCCCTTCAATAATTCATTCTGCTTTTGTGTTTTGCCACCTCTAATGTGAAAGGATGGACTAGATGATCCCTAAGGTGTCTGCCAGCTTACACATTTCATGATTTACTAAATTCCCATTGAGGGCAAAGCTCCAAGCCATGTCCAGACTTCTCTCTCTAACTTACGTTGATTATGCTCAGCCAGCTCCCAAATCCATTTCAGGTTGCTGTTCTAAGTCCAGGCAGCTTTGAGGCAGGAAACTGAATTTCATTATCCTTAACTTAGATTCCCCAATTTTTTTTTTCTGAGACTATGTTAGCAAACATGACCTAATTTTAAGTAATGCTCACTCAATAAAATAGTCCCTGGGGATCACAAAGAGTTTATATAGATTGTTTATTCATTTATTTATTTACTTTTTGGTTGTGCCACAAGGCATGTGTAATCTTCCCCCAACAAGGATCAAACCCATAGCCCGTGCGTTGGCAGCATGGAGTCTTAACCCTGGACCACTAGGGGCATCCCATGTAGATTCCTGATGACCACAGAGCAGGCATCCTTCTGGTGGAAAATTACCCTTATTGCTGGGGTCAGATACTCTTACATGTTCTTGCATTTGACTTTTTGTGTTCGGTACAGAGTTTCTGCCTTTCTCTCCAGTTGTGTAATGAACAGGAACCAGGTTAGCCCTAGAAACAGGGAAGTAAATCTAGGATATGTGTGGTGAAGAAGGCATGGACCCTTTCCAATAAAAAGAGTGAAGTGAAGAAGAAATCCTCATGGAAGGTAAAGGCAGTTGTTTCATGGATTCAGAACCTCAAAACCTCAGCAGAGGTACTATTGCAGGAGAGAGTTTATAAACAAATAAGCCCTCCAGGCTCTGTTTTTCCCAGAGCTCCCATGAATTCTCCCAGGCTCTCCACCCTCTGGACAGAGGGAAGAAACACCTTAATGCATTATATACTTCCTACTTTTCCTTCAACAGCAATATTATGAGGTGCCTATAGCTATGAAGTCTGTGTTTGATTTGATCGATACTTTCCAGTCCCGAATCAAAGACATGGAAAAGCAGAAGAAGGATGGCATCATTTGCAAGGAAGACAAGAAGCAGTCACTGGAAAACTTCCTATCCAGGTACATCTCCTTTGGAGACACTGAGGAGGAAGGCAGGAGAGCGTTCTGAGTGAGCTAATGAAAACCCCAGAGAAACACAAAGCAGACATGTCTGTGCAGGGTGACCTTCCCTGTGAGAAGGGGCAGTGTCTGTCTGCTTCACAGCACTCTGCCCAGTAGGCTTATTCTTGTCCTGTTGGAAGTGGCTCTGGTTGCAAGGCCGGCTGGGATCAGTTCCAAGCTTGAGTGTTGATTTGGTGGCTTTGGATAAGTCTTTTCTTTCTCTTCTGCTTTTTTTTTGGGACACTGATACATAATTCTGACCTGTAAGGGTTAATTCATTCAGTCAATCTGAGCAGCTTTGTATATTGTACTTATATTTATTGGGCCCTCTAGTTCCAAATGGGATTTGGAACACTGCTTGATTTTCTACTTCCTTCCAACTCTGCAGAGAACAACAGAAGTTCCACTAAGACCTTAAAAGGAGAAATTCTCCTGACCCAGACCCCTGATTCCTTGGGGAGTATGGTTTGTTGTAAACCCTTGTAGGGAAACTCCGGTACATACACAAAAAAGTGTTTTTTAAAAAAATCACTCTACTTTTTCCCTTCTTCATCCCTTCCCCCATGATGGATGAAAATTCTACAAATCTTTGGGACTTTAAAGGATGCAGAAATTTCTCCTACAGCAGCAAAAATTCTATGATTAGGAAATAAATAATCTGAATTCCTCTAGATTCGGGAAGCTTGGGTCTCTTAGGAGATAACATCATGATGTGTAAAGAGCATGGGACTCACCATTCATCCAAGTTTTCAGTTTATAATTTTCTAGGTATGTTGTCTCTATGCTTCCAATTAACCTGCCTTAAAAATCTTTCACCATGAGAATAACAAGAGCATGTAGCCCTACCTCCACTTCAGTGTTGCTGTAATCACCTTTTGTGCCAAGCACTTCCTCTTCCCTCCTGTTGTTTCACAATAATCGCATGATATAAATACTGTAACTATTCTCATGCTAATAGAGACCACTCAGGCTAATGGAGATCAAATAACTTTCATCACTGAGTTAAGTGTCAGTGATGCTGAAAGCTCGGCCTCTTTGCATCGGTGCCAAATCAAATCTTGGAGACAGAGTTTTGGGTGTTAAAACAGTCATTTTACATTTACCATATTTCTTTCAATTGCTTGAAATAAATACAACCTTTCTGGGTATTTAAATGATCCATAAGTTTAATAAGTTAATCTTGCAAATACAGTGAAGTTTTCTCAAATGTTCCAGTAACTGTATATGCTTAGTAAGATTTCAACCTAAAACCATGCAACTAAACCACATACTCAATCACACTTCCTAGTTTGGAGTTTCAAGGCTATCATTTTAAGCCAGATACTCTTAAGTTTCACAAGAACATAAATTCATAAAGAAAATTAGGCTCCTTCTTAGGAAAATATACTATTACTATAATTCTTCTTCTTAATTCTAAATCTTCCAGTAATGAAAGATGTATACCTATTGAACCAACCCCTAAACTCTGATAGCCTGATTTGTAAAGCAGACAGTTATCATCTAGCTCATTGATATTATTTACAACTCAGGATTTAGGCCAGCCATGAGAGCTGCAGTTACAGACATTATGATGAATTATTTGTGCCATTTTCAGGTAGAGGTTCTTTTTATAATCACATGTCATGGGTTTCAAAACTTCAAAGGAAAAGCTGGCATTATCTCACTTTTGTTCACGCACAATGCTTGCAATGCTCATTCAAGTTGATCACTGATTTGCATTTGCATTTTTTTTTAATTCTTAAGAAATTATACATATTTTCCATCCAAAGTCTTTTGAACTAGATAAGGCCCTACAACACATAAGCAAATGTATTTTCCTTCCAGTGTAAAAGACTACAAGTTCTTATATTCACTGCTGTTTCAGGAATATACATCTGTTATGGATATTCAGAATGGCCTATGATTATAATTTAGATGTCCTATGGTTATCTGTGACTTATGGTCACAACTCATGGAATCATTGTGCTGATAATTACCGTTGATCTTAAAAATTAAAGTGGAATAGTATATTACTTAAAGGCATGAGTAAGATAACCCTGAAGTTGATTCCTGGTTTTTCACTTATCAGCTGTGTGACCTTGGACTTATTGCTTAACCTCTTTGGGCTTTAGTTTTTTCATTTGCAAAATGGAGATAATAAGTTTATCTATTCTTAAGATCATTATGAAAGGTAAATTCAATACTAAAGGTAATGATAGGCTAGAACTTAGCACAAAGCGAGTAATTAATAAACACTGGTTATTAGTAGTATTAGGGACTGTATATTCAAGTCCTAGTTAGAGAACTTTGTCATCAAAGGAGAGCAAAGAGAAGACTTAATAAATACCTTCAGAACTGAAAGCCAGGCAGAGAGAACTGAATTTTTTTCTCTCTTTTCTACATAACAGCTCTGTAATAAACTAGTATCCAAATGGGAATTTTCCTTCAAATTTTCTGAGTTGGTGGTCTACACAGCCTGGTTTCAGCTCACCAAACTCTGAATCCAGTCTAGTCTTTAGTGACACTCATCTGGTTCAGGCTATAATTATCTTTCTCTAAGACAGAAGCCCCAAAGACTGGCACATGCACACTAATTTGGGAATGCCAGTTAAGAGAAGCAAACACATACATAGCTTGCAGTTTTTATTTAGTGACATGCTAAAGTGACAGAAAAACAATTTGTCCAAAGTAAGGGTCTGGGCCATATCCACATCTCTTCTTACTTCTACAGAAGTAGTTTCATTAACATTTGTTCCTTCAGGGCTGGGAGCTGGGCCTTGGATCTTAATATGAAGGTCTATGGGATAAAGAATCACCACTTAGGGGAAATGACCCTCTCTCCTTTGTGTCTGCCACAAGTCTCAGATCCCAGCCCTCTCTAATCTGATAGCATTCAGTGGTGCACACAGGTAAACAAGCCAAAATAGACTTCACCCAAGATAGCTCCCTCCAGGATACCCTGAAGCTCTATATGGGGGCCAGAAAGGCTGGCCTGGTGTGGGTGCTGGCTGGGAAGGGGTGGGGGTCAGGGGTGCTGGTCTGGCAGGCCTCCTAAGGAAGCAGGGAAAGCACTGGAGACTCTTCTGTGATCCAACAACAGTCCTGTTCCCTTTCCCAGGAAACCTCAGACAGTCTCAGATTCTCCTCTCCCCTCCTTTGTGCCACATACATTCATCTTCTATCCTCAGTGGAGATTTAAGTTTTTTCTTTCCCTTGGAAGAAAAACAAGCGGAGGAAGCTAATGTAGTGTCACAGCAAGCAGCTCTTAGCGAGTCTTGCTAAGGTGCCAATTCAGAGGTTGTATTTCATCAGATTACCATTTTCTCTCATTCACCCAAACCACTATTCCCCCAAGAGGCCATTTCCTTTGGGATTGAAAACTCTCCTGATCACTGAGAGGCTAGAGGGGGCACAGGGAGAGAAGCCATGAATAAAATCAACTGGCTCTGGCTCCCTGAGTACACTGACACCCTGCAGTCAGCAACACTGACTGCAGAAGGCAAAAAGCAAAAGACCTTTCTCCGTGAAGGTTGACTTTGAGACAATGGCACTCAGCATCTCTCTGGATGCACACCCTCTCTCTTTCATATCCCCTTAGGGACCCTGACAGTGCCCGCCAATCATTAGCACCTCTGAGAGGGGAAAAAGTGCAAGAAATGTGGTAATACAGTTTAATGTTAGGCTTTGAGGAGCTAAGAAATATTTCCAAAGTTACTGTTTTTTATTCCAGGCACAGGAAAACAGTGACAGTCGATGTTACTCTGCTTTTTCACACTGGCCTCTATTGTTTGAAGCAGTAATTGTGGTCTTCTACTTCTTTTCCAGATTCCGTTGGAGGAGGCGGTTGCTGGTGATCTCGGCCCCTAATGATGAAGACTGGGCCTATTCACAGCAGCTCTCTGCCCTCAGTGGTCAGGCATGCAATTTTGGTGAGTGGGAAGCCTCGTCATCACTGCTTTCCCATACCACCCTCTTCCTGGTCTAAAATGGAACACAGAAGCTTAGGTCATCCAAATATTCCCCAGCTCAGACTGTAGATTCCCAGACACTTACTCAGTTATATTGAGGATAAAGTTGCTTTCAGACTGGAATCTTAGTCAACTGGGGTCTGTTTTTCTTTTTTTAGTATTCTGCCCTCTCAGGTTTTTTATTGAAATGTTTGAAAATACCTGATGCTTTACTTACAGTGATCTGTATTATGTGTCTTCTTGTTTGTTTTTTAAAAATTTGTCTCAAGATAATAAAACTCAGATATCATCAATTACTTAGGTAATAATTAGGTACCAACACTGAGTGCTTTTCCATAGATTTAAGTAATTTTTGTAAGACAGCAATGGCTTTGAGAATTAATGAATGAATTAAACCTCACTGTACTATATTACCAGTCCCTTTGAAAGGATTTTGATCTCTAACTAAGCACCGGGAAGACAGCAAGATTTGTTAAACAATGCCTTATGCTTTAAGACAAGTAGGTCAAAGAGAAATACTGTTTATTATTACTATCATTATTTGCAGTGAATTGCTCGGTGTTTTGAAAACTAATGTATGTTTTTTTACCAAACATTATTATCCTAGTGGTCAGAAAGGGCTAATACTATTCTGAATATATACATATAGAAAGGAAATGCATAATACATAGAACATGATTAGTAAGTTCAATGTTGAACCAGAGAGACAGTGGTAATTTCAAAAGTTGGAATCACTACAAAAATTTTATTTAAGATACACCTTTGCAGAGGAAGAATTTTTGAGAGTCAGTGGAGGGGTGGAAAGTAGCTAGTGGCCACAAATTTAAAACTTCATAATTGGAACATAGATGAATCCACATTATTTTGATATTTCTATGAGGAAGAAGAATCATTTATTAGTTATAAAACTGTGTTTGATTTATAAAAGGGAAGGGTGGTCATATAAGTTTTGTAAAACATTAACAGAGTCTGGGTCCTTGCTATGACCAGGTACCTACAAATAATAAATATATTTCAGTTTTAAGATGTAAAATAATAACTCAAAAAAAAGGCAGAAAACAAGCTTATAACAGTAAGAATAATTAGAAAATTTGTAAATGTTTATTTATATTCTTATTATCAAGATTAATGCTTTAAAATTTTATATCAACATATGTAAGGAAGATTTGATTGTGCCAGTATTTTTAGGCATAATTTAAATTCTCAATAGCCACCAACAGTGGTGGGTAAGATGGAAGTTCTTAGGGCAGTTAATGACCCTCCGTGATATGAATATATAAATAAGATCATGGCTTGCTAATTTTCTAAAGACATCTTTGCAGTAACTATTAGCTGATGTTTCATTTTGAATTGCTACACAGAGTCTAAGTTAAACTCTTTTGTAGTAGATAGGAAATGTGAACAAGTCATGTTTTAAAGGGATAATTAAGTTCATGATCGTCCCTTTTGAAAACATGACTTAACATGCAAAACAGAAATGCTTCACTTCTCTGGGAGAAGAATAAATCCCATAAAATTTTTTTGGAATAACATTTTGCGTGGATTTCAGCTCTTCTTTAAAAGAGCCCTTCTTGGTGGCTTTTAGTTTTCTCTCCTGGACAATCAACACTGTCAACATTCATATTTATTATTAGTAGTTCCAAATTACTACTGTGACTAGGCTCGGATTTTGTCCAAAACCATGAAATCTAAATAGGATGACTCCATAGCCCCCTTGCCTTTCTATGTTCTTTCTCCTGAATCTTTTCATAAGGGCTTCATCTTCAAAAGAATTCCAGCAAGCTACCAAGGCGTGACCTTCTTTCCTTTCCTGAAACTTTAGTTGAGGATGGGTGGGAAGCAAGCTGTGCCTCCCTTAGTGCTACCCCTTTGAGTCTTCTAAAAAAGTGATAAAACCCCGCCCACTGAGCAGACAAACTTGAGGAAGCCAGAACAATTTCTTCAACAATCACATTGGCTCACTCTGTAGTCTTTTCTTTGAGAGGAAAATTAAATTATCCATGTAAGCTGTTATAACATCAGCTGTGACTTTTTTCCAGAACACTGATCAGCTTAGATCATCTTAGATATTTTAAAGTTCCAATGGCTTCATTTTTGTTTTGTTATTTAATAGAGTGAGAATCACAGTTTAAGAGCAAATTCTTTTTCAATCTGCAAAAACAAAACTAAACCACATTTGACTCTGCTGTTAATCCTAAAATCTGTAATTAGTCTCTTTTCAAGATTTTATAAATGTTTAAATGCATTTTTATGGGAAAAAATTCAAATGACTTATTTTACCTAATCAGGTTATGTTTTATATTCTTTTTAAACTTAGAAATTTTAATTGTCAGATATTCAGTCTTTGGAAGCAAAAGACTTACTACAGATTCTGTGGCTTATTTTTTTCTCTCAGGTCTGCGCCACATAACGGTTCTGAAGCTTTTAGGTGTTGGAGAGGAAGTAGGGGGCGTTTTAGAACTGTTCCCGATTAATGGTAAAGTTTTGTTACTTTAAAAGAGTATAAACTACTGATAAGTTCAGTGGGGTTATATTAATTCATATGTAAGCAGTGGATTTACCCTCAGTTGAAGAAAGCTCACTAAATCCTCCCTCCTGGTGTGTGCCCCATGCATGTGTGTGTGTGTGTGCACGTGTGTGTATGGATGTGAGAATTTATGTATACATAGAATGTGTGTAGAAGAATGGGAAGGGGAGCATAAGCACTCATGTTGTTTTTATTAAAAAACCATTCACAATTGACAGCAAAGATATTCATTTAATAGAAACATGTCATTCTTTTTTGTCTGCATGGGCCTTTATTGGCTTACAAAGCATTTTCACCTATGTTATCTCATTTAATTCTTGTGGTAGTATTATAAGGCACGAGAAATGGGATATTTCCTGCCATATCCGTGAACAAGGGATGTCAGAGTTGATCTTGATGTGGCAGTGCTCTTGCCAGGATTAAATAAAGGAACTAGTTTTATATTTTATAACACTCCTGTAAAGAGACATGTGACTCAAAACGTGATCCATGTTGTAGAACAGCAGGAACATTTCATTGCTAGTAGAAAGACCAGCAAAGTTCCTAAATTGGATTTTTGAACTGTAGAGAACAAACCCTTGAGTCCTTTTTCTGTTCTCACAGTGATTTCTTCTCACTTGATGCTTTCCTGAGTATTGCCTCTTTAATCCACTAACAACTTTTCTAATCCTATTCTAGGGAGCTCTGTTGTGGAGCGAGAAGACATACCAGCCCATCTGGTGAAAGACATACGCAACTACTTTCAAGTGAGCCCAGAGTATTTCTCCATGCTTCTAGTTGGAAAAGATGGAAATGTGAAATCCTGGTATCCTTCCCCAATGTGGTCCATGGTGATTGTATACGATTTAATTGATTCGATGCAACTCCGGAGACAGGAAATGGCCATTCAGCAGTCACTGGGGATGCGCTGCCCGGAAGATGAGTATGCAGGCTATGGTTACCATAGTTACCATCAAGGATACCAGGATGGTTACCAGGATGACTACCGTCATCATGAGAGTTACCACCATGGATATCCTTACTGAACAGAAATATGTAACCTTAGCCCCAGCCAGTTTCCCCTGCAACTGTTAAAGTCACATGTGGCCAGCTTCATAAGGGAGAGTTCTTCCACACTGCCTGCACTCCCTGCCTTTTTCTTTCAGTGTTCTTCCAAGATTAAATAAATAGCAACATTTTGCCTACTCATAAGTTGTCAAGAGACCTTAAATCATAAAGATGTTCAAAAGAATTACTTTTTAAAAAGCATTAATTGGTAAGTGAAAACTAGGATTGTTAAAGATCACAGCACAGATGTTTTCAAATAAACATCTGGACAGATGGAACAGACAGAGTAGATAGCATCTTAACCCTTTTTGAAATGTCAGTCTAAAAATGATTAAGATGGCTCTGCTTTATACTGTGAGTTTGTTTCCTGAAGCTTGATACCAGAGGAGTCCAGTGATATTGACTTCCAAAGCCAGGGCAAGTACCAAACTCCACTTTGTTACCATAGCTACTTCCTGCCCTGATTCTCTTATCTTTAGTGTCAGGGGAAAGGATACCCTCAATCACCTCCAGAACTGGCTGTGCAGCTAAAGGCGACACTTTCAGAGTTCCATCAGGTACCATGGAATTCCCAGCATGGGAAACCTTGACTCTTCACACTTGACTTCCTGGGCATGTTTGCTGATAGGCCCATTACACACTGGCACCTTGTTAAAATAAAATTACAAAGGAGATTATTTCCAAGCATTCCTTTTTTCTTCAAAGGAAAGTGTTCCTAAATTACAGTGGATAAAATTATAACTGGAGTGCAAAATATAATCCTTGTCTTTGAAATAGAGCATTTATTTTCACATATGGCATATAAACTAAATATTCTCCCTTCTTCCCTCCCTCTTTCCCCTCCTTCCTTCTATATTAGTTTACTTTTTACCAGCAAACAATGACCAAGTAATATGTATGAGCTTGCCCGAAGGCAGGCAGTCAAAGTTCCTGGATTTTAGCATCCTGACAGTGCCAGCCTCTGTCAGTAATGGGAATGCTTATTTTTTTGGTCACTGTTATTAAAATTGATTTTCCAAATAATCTTGATTATTGGTTGTTGGCTCTAATGGGCCCAGATATTAATAACTGCATTGAAGTCACATGTGAATGCTGCTAGCATTTAACTTATTTGTGCCTACTTGCACAAATTTGTCTTTTACTTCATCCGAACTTTCTTACAATCACAGTAAAAGTGGAATTTCTACCTCAAATGAACTTGAAGGATTACTTGTTTTGCCCCTTATTCTCCATAAAGACCATTCATTCTTACCTGTTTTACAGGTAACTAAAGTTCAGAAAGTACAAGTGACTTCAGAGCATACTTTACTTATTGTATAAATTATGCTTACAGTTCACCCCTCCTCCCATGGTGGGGATCTTTCCTTCTCTTTGCTAGAACAGTCTATACCAGCTGCTTGAGGAGGGCAGGTGCAAGAACCAGGCTGATGTGCATTGCTCTTAAATTGTTGGCAGGGTGAAGCACAGCTTAAAATTGCCATGGATTTCTTCATTATTGCCTCTGAAATTACACAGGGGCAATATCTAAGTAAGGAGCCCAAATTGTCTCAATTTCAGGAAATACAATAATGAAGGAGTTTCATCTCCCAAGGAAACTAATTAGATAGGAATAATAAACATTTTCTTATAGAATAATTTTGTTAAGGTTCTAGCTCCTGCACCCAAAGAAAGAGAACAGTTTTTCATAACATGAGGTTACTTTTTCAAGCATTCTTCTGGTTTCACTGGCACTGAGATTGTCTTTAGCAGTGCAATGAAATGGTTCTTTGCTTTGATGAGCTGGTGGAGAAGTCATGGGTAATCATTTAGGGGACTGTAGAATAAAGAAGCCACAGCTCAACAAAGGGACACATTCAGAGAAAGATGCTATTAGTAAATGTCCTCAAATCCTAGAATCTGGATGTGGGGCTGCTGGGGCTAGCAGGCGGCCGGGACCTGGGTTTTGGTTTCCCGTGAAATGGTGGGATTCCCCGCCCCCATCAGGTAACCTGGAGCCAGCCAATCAATATGCGCCCAGTAAGAAACAAAGGGAGAGCTAAAAAGCCCGCGGATGCCTAAGTTTAAACAAAAGCCCGTGAAAGTTTGTACCAATAAAATTGCTTTGCAAACATGTAACCAATCCGCTTAAGCCAGCTACTAACCGCTTATGCATAGCTTATAAATTTGGGTAACCGCCTCTGCTCAGGGATTTTCTGACCTTGCACCACTGTGTTGGTGGCAGCAGAAAGCCCTGACTCGAGTCAGTAATAAAACTTCCCTTTTTGTAAATTGCATTGTCTTGGAACTTCTCTCTTCCCGCTCTGGGATTCGGACATCGGGCAGAACACTGGAAAAAAGCAGAGTAAATCTTAGCAAATGGGAGGACTGAAGAATAAGGTAACCTGAATCTGTTTTCTAGGGCTATAGATCTGGTAGTTGGAAGTCTGAGTATTGTTGTTGTTGTTTGTTTTTTTTTAATAAAAACATTTCCTTCCCCAAACAGCAACAACAACAAAAAAGGTAAAATACTAATAAATTCTAATTTTTGATAAAGATTATGGAATTAGGATATTTCTAAAGAAAAGCACCCAACTGAATTAGGGAAATCTGAAAGACTGAAAAGAACACTGCCTCACCCAAGTGGCCATAATTCCCTTCCATGAAATTCCAAGAACTGTTTTTCATCAGAGAAGTACCAGGGTTCTAAAAGTGAAATGAAAGGATTAGCCACTCAGTCGTGTCTGACTCTTTGTGATCCCATGGACTGCAGACTGCCAGGCTCTTCTGTGCGTGGAATTCTTCAGGCAAGAATACTGAAGTGGGTAGCTGTGCCCTTCTGCAGGGGATCTTCCCAATACAGGGGTTGAACCCATTTCTTCCACATTGCAGGCAGATTCTTTACTGTCTGAGCCACAGGGGAAGCCCTGGGCTCTAAGGTGAATATTAATTCAGCAGAGAATTCATCCCCTGCCACAGAGGCTGGTGGCCCAGACACAGCAGAGTCAGTGGAGCCCGCTGGTCTCATCCTCTAGATTATAGTTGATAATGAAGTGCACACCTTCTCAACTCCTGAAACCTTGAGCATAAAAATAGTTCAGGGCCAGGGTGAACGATGGCCTTGGCCGACCCTGATGGGTAATCTCAGTACTTAGCCGTGTATGGAGATTCCAAAAAAAAGAGAAGCCTCTTGAAAAGAACCTCTGTCCATATCTGTGCCATCACTAATTCCCCTTTGCCTACTGAGGAATCCTTTCTGCTCTGTGGCTGCTCTGTGGTTTGGAGTGTGCAGATAGAGGGTGTGGTCAGTGCATACTCTTAACTTCCAACCCAGGTAAAATGCTAACTCCTTTTTTCAGTCCTCTCGGAGTTGGAGCAGAGCTCCCAGTGTAAGATTTTCCCCTTAGTTTTGTACATGTTACTGAAAGGTTGTTGCTGAACGATAAGACGCTGGGATTGTTGGCCTCCGGAGAAGAATTCAATCCGGGGCCAGAGACGAGGCTGGATTGCTCAGAGCTTTTGTGTAATAAAGTTTTATTAAAGTATAAAAGAGACAGAGAACATTTATGACATAGGCATCAGAAGGGGGCAGAAAGAGTACCCCCCTGCTAGTCTTCAGCTGGATGTTATATAGTCACTAGCAGTCTCTGTTAATGAAAAGAAAGGAATGTCTTAAAACTCAGAATGGCACCAGATAATTCATCTCAGGCCATAAAACGATTGACTTGAATCTTGTAGAAGGACAGATTACCAAACAAATAGTTTTGTTTACATAGATTAGGGGAACAATATCTGAGTATAACGTACGGGTTTGTCAAGTGGTTTCTGAGCCATTTGGCGGAACCAACTTGAAGACAGTGTCTGGGGTAAATGCATAGTACATTAACATAGCTTAAGACAAACATTTTCATAAGAAAAATGTATTGGTTAACTCAAGGTTTGAGAATAGTTAGCTTCAGGTAAAACCAGGTGTCATGGCAACACAGCATTTTAAGAGAAACCTCCTTTTAAATTTGTATAGAGAAGGAAAAAATATCGCTAGTTTGTTTCCTCCTGCCACTTAAGAGAGATAAAAATGTCGGACACGTGCAGGCTATTTCCTCTGTTTGGAGACCCCTGGCCTTCCTACCTGTTACCCTCTCATTACTAGCTACTAAGAATTCAAGAATCAAAGTTGGGGTGGTGTTTCTTCTGGTCTCAGCCTGTTGATAGTGATGCTATCAGCTAGAAATGCCCAGGGCACTCACCTGGGCCTGTATATTTAGGCCGCCCCCACAGACATTTTCCAATAGGAGCCAATGTTGTGGACTGACCTTTGTGGTTTGTATCATGATCACAAAACACACCTCAGCAACAGCTGTGTTGACGAAAAGCTAATCAATAGTTGATCTAAGAAAGAAACAGAAGTTTCTCTTTGAGCCAACCTGAGGATTATAAACTGGGAGATGGTCTTTCAGAAAGCTTTGAGGTCTGTTCCACCCATCAGAGATCAAAGTAGGGTTACATGAGTTCTTGAGACAGATGGTTATGTGTCATTTGACAGCTTACAGACCAACACGTACAGAGCGAGTAGGAGGTCATGGGTCATAGTAGCCCCTGATGGGGTTAAGAAGGAAGGTTATCTTCTAGGGAGGCCTGATTAATCCAGACACATGCACAGTACACCCTACAGGAGGTGGGGTGGGGTGAGGAGGCCCAAATAGGCAAAGAAAGATTTTATGTTGAAATTTTTCTCATCTTGCCATAAAATGTGAATTTTATTTCATCAACCATAAGGTAACTTTGTAAGAAAAATAGCTTTATTACTCACAGGTCCTGGAGGATATATACACAGCAAGGCTGGAGGGAGAGCAAAAACTTGGGGTTCTGCCTGTATTGGGGTTGAGGTGAGGTTTGTGGGTTACTCTTTAATGGTGAATATAACATAGGAGTGGGGGTCAGTTATGTAGATGACCCAGGGGTCTCCAATAGGGGAACATCATGGGGTTGCTGAATCTTTAGG